CCCCCCAAAGTTTTCCAGTGAGCATAAATTATGACAAGAATTAAAATGTGTGTGTATTTGCATATAGTTTGAATATAATCATTTAACACATGTGAGGGGGGCTTCAAAGAATTTCCTGGAAAAGTTTCCTTATCTTTCAGTTTCATTTTCCATGAATTGTTTGAAGAGTCCTCTCCTATAAGCAGTTTTGCTTGAGCCCAGCCACCTTCAAAATCTGGGACTGAGCTAAGATCTTGGAAGTAATTATTACTATATATATATATATAAACTCTGAGCAGCCAGACTAATATTTTAAAACTCATGTAATACAGCACGTTATACACAGGATATCTCTCAAATCCTGTCCACTCATGCTTTGCACACAGTTCTTTGGTCATCTGCTTCATCAGAACACAGCAAATTAGAAGGGAGACGTTAAAGGAGCAGCTGCCACAGGCAGAAGCCAGAGACAGGCTGTACAGACAGCCTGGTGCCGAGAGGGAACCTGGGGGAACTCCACATGGGCCTCAGCCTCGTAGGCACAGGGCACGCTAACAATGCGGAGTGTTCCGCGTCTCTCTACTCATTCCCGCTTCCCAGCGTGAGCAGTTCTGCACGGACCTTGCAGCCAGCGGCACGCATCTCGGTCAGTGCTGTAGGGTCCCATGTGCATGAGAGAGAGGTTCCTCCTGGAGAGACCCCCTGGGAAGTGCTGTCTGGGTGGGTGGTGCCGGGCTCTGCTTGCTCTGATTACCTCACTGCCCTGCAGACCCATCCAGAGCGGTCCAGGGAAAGGCCTCACGCACTAAACGAGCGTGGGTTTTGACGACATGTTGACTCAAGCCCAGATTCAGGCCAGCGGGTTTAGCTCTTTGTGTTTTGTTTTTCTTGAGCAGCAAAAACGATCATTTGCTGGTCTGTTTGCCTGGTTCTGCAAGCGCCCCAGTGACCACCCCTAATTATGAACCCCCTGGCACCAGGCAAGGAGTCTCATGCTGACAGGCGTGTGGATTAGAGGCCTTGTGGCCGCCCGTCCTCATGGAATACACAGCCCTCACTTTCAGAAAACGTCCAAGAGAAACCCCCAAAACGGAGGAGGAGGGCGAGGCGTGTGCTGGGAGACATCAATGTGAACATGTGGAAGGGTCCTGTTGTGAGAGGCCACCGCGTCACTTCTGACTCATAGCGACTCCACGCACAACAGAATGGGACCCCGCCGCCAGGACCGGCGCTCTCCTCACAGTGGCCCCGTGTCCGTCCATCTCCTAACAGTCTTCCTCGCTTTCGCTGCCCTTGCCCGGGCCTGTCTACCACGTGCAGGATCTGTGAGCTGAAGTCACGCCACCCAGCTTCTCAGGAGTGTCTGGGCTGGACTTCTCCCAGACAGGTCTGTGTGTGCTTCCTGGTTGTCCCTGGCACTTTCACTGTTCTTCGCCGACGCCGGATTCAAGTGCATCCACTGTAGTCAATGTGCAGCTCCTTCAAGCACTTATCATAACTGTCATTTGCAATCACGTAACTTTAAACACCCTGTATGTCTTTCTCCTGCACGTTTGGAGGCTCCTCGTAAACGGGGCCCTGTCTGTCTTGCAGCTGTGGCTGCTCCCCCAGGCCGAGCACGGGACTGGGGCGGTGGCGGTTGGTTGAGGGAGTGTGCGGCCACAGCCACTACCTGGAGTGCCCCTTTCACCAGCCTCACCTTCCTGGGGGTTTCCTGACCTGGAGAACTCCATTCCCAGGGCTGTGTGTTTGGGCCGCTCCCTGGCCGTGCCTGTAGTGGCGTTGAGCTGACTAGCTGAATCTGCACTGTGCCCAGTGCCCTGGCAGAGGCCTGCCCGGCACAGGGCTTGCCATGACCACCATTACCCCAGTTAGAAGGCTCTCTTCCAGCCACTTCAGGCTTATTGGCAATGATGTAGACACGGATTTCTTGACAGGGGCTTATGGTAAGGACCAAGTGAAATAATGGCTGTGGAATTACTTCAGAAACTTCAAACTTTGCCAAGGCCCTGAAGACCATACTGTAAAAGCGTGAGTGACTGGCCTTATAAAGGAGACATCGCTCCCCAAGTTAGTTTTGTTTTTAATTTTTGTCTTAGTTCTTTACATTTTGCCCTCTAATGTCAGATGATTAGCATGGCTTTTTGGAAAGACAGTTGACCGTCGAGTTCTGAGTCATGGGTTCTCGTCCTGGCCTTACCGCTACCTGAGCTCCTTGGAGCAAGCCTAATTCCTCTGCCAAAGGATGGCTGCTTTTTGAGCGTCAGCTACAGGTTGAATGTTAATAACGAGTAAACCGACAGCTAGTTCTCAGACCTAGGAAACGGATGGCGTCCCTCGTGTGGTGTTCTCCCCAGATGCAGTTCCACCAGTTACTGCAACTCTTCCCCAGGTGACAGGGGTGGCTCTCCCCGTCCCCACCCTGGGCTCCTCCGAGTGCTTCCCCATCTGCGTGTATGCTTGCTGAACCGAATCCAGCATGCCCCTTTCTCGCATCCGGGCTCCATGGTGAGCGCGTCTGGGAGGAATGTTACCTGTTTCCAGCCAGCCAGCCTCCGTGTGCCGGTTCCATCAGTGCCTCTCGGTGCAGAAGGCTTAAGCTGAGTACCCACATTGACCTCCCGTCTCATTTTTGTCTTCCAGTGACAGACATCACACCTCCAGCGCGATCCCTGTCCCAAAGAGACAGAGCTCCATGTTTGCGGGTGCAGAGGGGGCTTCCTCCGGGGGAACCCCTTCACCGGACAAAGGACACCGAAAACGGGCCAGCTCAGACAATGAGAGACTACAGTACCGGACGCCTCCTCCCAGCTACGGCTCCGCCTCAGCACAGCCCGCGCCCGCGGCCGTGCCTGCGTCCACGGCAGGGCCCGAGAGAAAGGCAGCCCCCCTGTCCTCCTCCTTGGATACGCCCTTGAACTTCTCCAAAGAGAGCTCGAGAAAGGGAGCCGATCTGGAGCACAGCGCCCGTGGGGGCCACGTGAGTGTGAGTGCTGGCCCGGAACAGGGAGCAGCAGCCCCCTCGGGGCACCCCGCCACAGTCAACGGCACCCTCCTGCCCAGCGAGCAGGCTGGCACGGCCGGCGCCCAGCCGCCGCCCGGCGAGCTCCTCCCCGCGGCTTCCGAAGCCGAGCCCCGCTGTGCGGTGGAGCAGGCGGAAGAAATCATCGGGCTGGAGGCCACCGGCTTCACGTCCGGCGACCAGCTCGAAGCGTTTAGCTGCATCCCGGTGGACAGTGCCGTGGCCGTGGAGTGTGACGAGCAAGTCCTGGGGGAATTTGAAGAGTTCTCCCGAAGGATCTACGCACTGAATGAAAACGTGTCCAGCTTCCGCCGGCCGCGCCGGAGCTCCGAGAAGTGACCGGAACGACCAGCATCGAGCGCCTGCACGGCGGAGGGAAAAGCTGCACTTGACTTAACCTCTTGGTGGTTAGGGTGGAGCAAGATGAGCAGTCGTGGCGGACATTCCTGGGGCGGGCGCCGTGGGGGCGTCGAGGAAAGTTGTACTCGGGATCACGGGGTATCGGGGCCAATAGAGCTAGGTTTTGCATCCCAGGCTGGCTTTTCCAGCCCTGACGGTCCTCTTAAGGCAAAAGGCACTCCCTTGTTTGGACGAGCTCATAGCTCAATCACCTTATAGGTATTTGTCTGCTTTTATTTACACTTGTATGTTGTCCTCAGAGGGAAAGCGATAATATATATAAATAATATAATGAACCCGTTTCTCATAAACATTTGCCCACCTTCAGAGTGTTAGCTCCCGGGAAACAATATTCAGGAACTGGGCTCTCCCAAGTGTCCAAGCGTCTTTGGCCATCCAGCCGGCTGGTGAATAAGAAGCACAGTGGCCCTACTTATCCTTGTCCCCAGCCCCATCTTCCTCTGCCCTGCTGCTGCACCCCACTCCACCCGACCCCCGCACCACAGTCCACATGCAGGGCACCCCCATTCTTACAGTGGTGGATTATGCACCCTGCAAAATGTGGCTTTCAGATTCACGGCTTTGTGGCTTTGCTTTGGTTCGTTCAGCGCAGTAGCCATGGTCTTCCACCACCTCTAAATGTATTGCCACACCCTAAATGTACCCCTCAAAAATAACCTTTAAAACTTCCCCTCCCTTGGATTCCTGGGGACCCTCAAGGACCCTAAAGTCACTAAGGTAGCGTCCAGTCCACTTTGGGGCCCAAAGCTCTCACATGCGCACATGCTGCGTGGTCCGAAAAGCAGCATGCTTCCTGGCAATGCGCTCACCAGGCAAAACCCTGTACGTAAACCCCATGTTAATTTATTGGAGTTCACCTGAAGGAAGGCATCGAAGATGATGAACTATATGCAGAGAGTCACGTTGTCCCAAGTGCAAACTGCCCGGCAGCTGAGGAAGTTGGAATACGAGTCTAAATAAATGAGGCTTAGAGTACTGTTGGTGTATGTGCAATGGCATAAATATTAAATTATGTTTTTGTTACAAGTCATTCCTGGAGCTCAGATTTTATTTGCTGTTGCTTTATACATTATGTACCCAAGGACGTCGCCTCAGGGTTGCAAGCTCTTTAAGGAAAACTGATCCATATATCCATGTATTGTACAGAATAAAATTTGAGTTTACTTCACCTGACCAGATTTTTCTTTCCCAACTTTGAACTTCCTCTTGACCCTATGCCTCAATATGTTGCATCAGGACAGGACTGGCCCAGACAAAAGCCCTGACCGTCCCTGGGCACACGCTGCTGCCATCATTTGTGTTTGCACATGGTGTATTGCAGCAGGCCCTTCCACGGCGGACTCGCCGATAGCTGCAGTGTTCTGACATCACGGTGAAACTCATCAGCCTCGTGATCACGTTCACCCTCCGCCCTAACCTTCGCAGGCTCAGTTTTAATTTACAGCTGCAACGTTGGATGGAATAGTTCGTTCTGTGGTTGTCTCTCTAAAGAGAATTTGGAATCACTGCACAGCAGACAGACCCTGAAAGTCAGGCTCCTGAAAGTCTAACTTCCTCTAGAGAAAGCCGTCTCGTTCCAAATAAAGGGCTGGGATTACTCCAAATGTAGAGCAAAAGCCACGTGCAGGGTGACGTTTTTTGCGTCAGAGGGTGCACACAAACCCACTTGCCACTGCTGAGTCGATTCCACTCACAGAAACCCCGTAGGACGAGGTAAAACTGCCCCTGTGGACTTCAGAGACGATTGCTCTTTATGGGGTGGAAAGCCTCGTTTTTCTCCCTCAGTGCTGGCTGGTGGTCTTGAAGTGCTGACCTCAGTGCATAGCTGCTATGTCACCACAGCTCCTAGGTGAGCACAGCCTTAGATAGACATCAGACTGGTCTCCAGGGAAATAGCAGCCACCAAATTCAGGCGGACGGTTCTGAAGGACTGAGTCAGTCTGGAAGAGCGGCAGGCGAATTACATCCTGATTTGAGACTTCCCAGCACCCAGGAGTAAGCTTTAAAGTTCCTGTGAAACTCCAAGAAGGGCCCCATTCCTTGCCAGCCCTCCAGCCTGGCTCGAGGCACTGCCAAGCAGGAGGAGCATGTGCGGGGGTTTTTGTGGTGACAGGTTGTGGTTAAAGCTTCTGTACAGCCAAGTGGTTCCTGGAGCTCCGGGCTTCCATCCCTCGGTCTCCCCGCTGTGGGCTCCCTGATCCTGGGGTTCAACGTTCTTTCACCTCTGCAGCCCAGAGCTCTGCCATTGGATGTGACCAGAGCGCTCAGAAGTGATCGATACTGCTTCTCGGCCTTTCCGCGAAGATCGAGTGTGGTATCGGGAGTGATCAGTAGTCTTTCCACACTTGTTGGGTCCACGCTGATCCGAGGCGTGCACCTCAGGCCCACTGAGGTTTGGGCATGTTTCCTTGGGGTTGGGTATGATTCCTGCAGTTTCTGCCACGACCTCTCGGGGACCTCCATACAGTGTCCGTCCATGCTCCAGAGCTGCGCCTCGGCCACAAGGAGAAAGCGTGGGATGACTTCTTGGTTCCTACTGATCTTTTTCATTTGGCTTTGTAAGTGACCTAAAATCATGTCTCTCTCTAGTTTCTGCCTCGAAGCTGTAAATCCACATGGAGACTCCCACGACCATCCATTGCAGAACTCGGAACCCATTCCGTGTCCGGACAGCTCAGACACTTAGCAGCTGACAAACGTTATCAAGTGGATATTTTATAGTGTTTTCTCTATCCACTTCCCCTTACCCGCTTTAGAAATTCCAGAGATTTTTTTCACCCCCCTCAGAATATTAGTTTTGGAAGACTCTCTCCAGCTATATTTTTATAGCAGTCCTAATGTGCCCACTTATCCTGACCTAACCGGTCATTTCAATAACTGCCTAAGCCACACCAATAATAAGTGGCATGTGAAACTGGTTCGCTGGTAATTGGGGAAAACTCACATCTGTATTTATAAAATAAAATTGATTCGTATTTATTTTGAGAGTTGAAAGTGTTATTTTCCTGCTATGTCTGAGTCCTGTATTGTTTAGAATTTCACATGGAAGCTAACGCTGAAAACCGCGTTCTGTGGCAGTCCACAGTCAACCATTCCACACGCTGCGCTCTCGCCCACTCTGTGCCAGCCACGTGGGGTGAACACGGTTAATAGAAAGGTTAATAAGCCATGCCCTCTGCCACATTCTCTCCTGGGCATCGTGCTCTCTTAGCAGTTAATCATAGTTTGGTGTGGTTAATTTTGTGCTGGAGAGAACAGCCATGCTATGGAACAAGACAAAATAGTTATTAACTCTGATTTACGGAGCAGGACAGTTAGTTCATGGAGTTCACGCCATTGAACCGTAAGATTTCACGTCCTAGATGGTGGGAATCATATGGGCAAAAGCAGCGTGGTGAGGGTGTGTAAAACAGCAAGGAGTTTGTTGCTTAAAGGCCTGAATGGGTGGGAAGAAAAGCAAGAGGGGACCTTGAGTTGCAGACCAATGGGGAAGGACGTAGGTACCAGGGAAAGGGATTGGGGCTCAGGCAGTGGCGCCGTGGGTTACAATGCTTCTGGTAGCTCCAGACAAGGCGGCCTGTCTGTAGAGTTACAGCCGCCGAAGCCCCACGGAGCAGTCAGTCGGAACCAGGCCACGGCGGTGGGGTGGGGTGGGGTGAGTGGTATGCCAGTACCCTCCCCAGGATTTAACGCAGGTTCGATCTGGATGCTGGCCAGTAGCCAAGTGGAAGCTGAGCTGTAGTCGGAGTGTGCAGAAATGACCGACGACACTTGCTCTTGGAGTCTGTTGAGCCTGCTTTCCTTTTCTGTTTACAAGAAAATCTGGATTTGGAAAAGGGGTGTCTTTGCACCCCAAATGGTCTTCCCAGGACACACACTACCCCTCCCAGCACCTCTTCAGAACTCCCTCCATTCCGAATGCCCTGTGGCAACAGACCACCCCCCTCGGCCACTTGGCAGCTAGGTCAAATCGTTGACCTTTTAAGGACCCTCGTTTCTGAAATCGCTGAGGAACTGAAGATAGTCTGTTTGGGCTCCGTGTGCAGTCGCGGCTGGGCCCTGGCTTCCGGTGGGAGGCTCTGCGCCCCGGTGGGAACCATGCCTGGGAGACTCCTTATCAGGCTGCCTGCGCTTCCCCTTGGCCAAGGCCACTTGACCTCTCAGGATCTGGCTCCTGATCTGTGCCCCAGAGAACACACACACACACACACCCCTGGCCCTGGGGCTGTGCACCCCCACGGTGGAAGAGCGTTCCGAGAGAGAAACTCTTCAGTGAGAGCCTTCAGCTGGCGCTGCCCTTCAAGGAAGAGTTCTCCCGGCGTCTGTGGCAGGCTTAGTACCCACTGAGACGTGGGTACATTCTGCACATACTGAACTGGGGCGGTCCTTTGAGAAATTAAGCCCTAAACCAACGTGAAGGATTTCTAGATGTGCCCAATGCCAAGAGACAGCCTTGAAGCCTAATGAGCTTGGTCTTCGTCATCATTAGCACATGACGGGGGAGCCTAATGAGGCCCACCTCATCCCTGAGTGCCCCCTCACCCAGCCCTGGTGGCGCAGCGGACAGGTCGGGCTGCTGTCCAAAAGGTCAGCCCTTCTGGACACCGGGCGCTCCACTCCTGTGAAGAGTGACAGTTTCAGAAACCTGCAGGGACAGTTCTCTGCCTCGACTCCATGGCAGGAGTTTGGTTTGGTAACAGAGCCTTGGGCAGCTTTCCGGGTGCCCAGTGCTTGTCTTCGCTCAGGGAGACGAAGCTTTCTTCTCGCCCCCCCCCACCCTTGCGTGGCACATCTAATGACAGTTTTGTAAGTAGACAATTCAGCCTTGTGGACCTAAGATGAAGGGGGGTGGGGGGGATACGTGTCTCTAAAATAATGCTCAACTTCTGAGAAGCCAGCAATGTCAGCAATCCAGAAAGTGTGGTCGTTAGGCTCGATAGAAGTGGAAAGCACGTTGGTGGAAGAGCCAGCCGGGTCGACGCAGAGCTGCAGGCTCCGGTGCGCTGGGCCTTTGGGTAGGAGACACATTCGGCTCACAGGCTCCTCTGGGTCTCTGGTAACTTTAGAAGCAGTGCTCTAGGGCGGGAGGAGGGAGGACTGGGGCGAGCAGGAATCATGAATGAGTAGCCTGACTCCATAGTCACCGCCCCCTGCCTCTCTGGATGGTGAAGGCCGCTCTTGCACAGGTGTGTGCCCTTGGGCCTTCGGAGCCTCTCCCTGCCCCACTAGCCAATCTGTATTAATTCTTTTTTTTTAATGGGTCAGAGCATGACATTCTCACCTGTCAGTCTGCCTGTTGGTAAACAACTGGAGCCTGAGCCACTTATGGACGCCTACTGAAGGTCAATAGTTTGAGGCAACCCGCCACTCCATGGAAGATGAGGCTTTCTACTCCCGTAAAGAGTTGACAGTCCTGGAAACCGCAGGGGCAGGTCTACCCTGCCTGTAGGGTCACCATGAGTCAGAATTGACTCGATGGCAGTGGGGTAAGAGTGGAGTTACCTCTGGTCTGGGTTTTGTATGAAGCAGGCATCTCCTCCCAAGGGTGCAACCTACGAGGGTGAGGCATACGGGATCGCTACATGGGTTACAGAATGTGCTGGAACACGCCTGCCCCCATGGAGGGCTGCAGATGCGGGCTCTCCGTAAGACACTCGTCTTTGTCTGGCTGAACCGCCCGCCCAAGCCCAGGGTCCAGTGAAAAGGAGCTTCCAGGAGGGTCTGCTGAGCCAGTTACCTTCAAGACGGGGCTCAGCTCAGGAGGATGCAGGGACTGGTTTTCTCGTGGCAGAAGGTGGGTTTCCACAGGGGTAACCTTGGATAGATTTCCTAAGAGCGATTGTGGGGTGTAGGGGGAAGTCGTTTCAGGTGAGCCAAAGGCCAAGAAGACGTCCTGAGATATTGTTTCCCATCACAACACTGGATTTGCTCATCCTCGGAGGTTCCTATGGGAACGTGTTAGGAAACCTTACCCTGTCCACCCATCGTGCCCCTGGTGACCTTAGGGGCGTTTAAAAGGAGCCTGATTTCAGCCCCTCCAGAATGTTGAGCCTGCCGTTTGGCTGTGCTGAGTGAGAAGGAAGCACCCAGCCGCCCCTCGAAGGGCCTGAGCCAAAAGGAGACACCGGTTGAGAAACAGCCCCATCACATTGTGGCGTTTTTTGTTGA